CGCCCCTGTTAGCGGCCTCTTGACCATATCACCCACCCAAAACCCAAAACCCTAAACCCTATATAACCCATTATATATTATAGTAGTTTCCATTTTCTTTTCCATTATCCCCATATAACCCCAATATAACCCTAAAGCCTGCAAGTCGGACCCCACTTTCCCGACTGGGGCCTCCTCAGAAGATTGCTGGTAGTGTCGAAAAGAATTATGCTCTAGGTGAACCCCCCAGCCCAGTAATAGTGACTGTAAAGGAAATGGTGAGTATAAGGGTCCTCTTATATCCTGATTATTCCGCAATTGCAGGATGGGGGGTCCATCTAAATCATAGTCATGACTCCTTGACCTTGCCACCAACCTCTGGTGGTTGCCTGGCCTCAGATTCCTGGTTCCTCAGTAACCGTCCGAAAGTGATGTCCATGAGCCGGAATAGCTGAAACATGCCACATCCTTAACCCAGAACCTTCCTCGTACACCACCGCTGATAGATTCTTGCAATTGCCGTACAATGATTTTCATGCTGCTTTCATTGGACTGAGGAGGAGTTACAACCACGATTTGGATCCATGCCTCTACCAGCCCTTTCAAAACGATGCAAAAAGGTCATGGGCTTACACGCATGTAAAGGGATGTACTGCTTGGTGGGCACTATCATCACCACTACGACGAAATGGATAACAACAAGAGGCTGCATGCCAACTTCTGTTCAGAGCTTGCAGCCTGTCCACAAGCTTTCTGAATCAACATCAGGTTCCCTCGCTTAAGCCCGCAAAGTAGCGTCCTGTGATGATCTGCGCATTCGGGCTCGCACGAATGCCGTAGGCCCTTACTGCTAGTTCGGGCTCCGGGATTAGCCGGACCGACTTCAGGCCTGCCAAAAGGGATCTTAGGTGGCAACACTGAGTTGGACACCCATCATACAACCCCTCATGAAGATAGATAACCAATTGTAGCAGTCATCGTTGCACCGGGTGCCAATAGTGGCGGTGGTGGTGGTGGTGGTGGTGTTGGCGGTGGTGGCGGTAGCGGTGGCGGTGCCGGTGGCGGCAATAACGGGACTGGTGGTGGCGGCGGCGGTGGTGGTGGCGGCGGGTGGCGGTGGTGGTGCGACGGCGACCACGATGTCAGCAACAACAAAACAACCACGACTAGTGCACAGTGGGCGCTGAAGACCTGTGTGTTGATGGCCCCTTTCTTGGAGATTCCCTTGCATACAACACTGTCAGTGTAGAGCAAATGACACATGTTGACTTCTCTTTTCTCCTGCCTGCGAGCGTCGCAGAATACTCCAGGGCTGCACGCTGCGCCTTCGTCCACCGCGCCGGCACGCCTTTGAGAAACAAAGCGGTTTTGAGTTTGAGTGGCCACTCGCACAGGGTTGAGTTGCTTCCTCCACGAATCTCTCAGTGACTGGCGAATGATGGTCTGAAGGGGCACAGATGCAAAAGATGTTTCATGCTAAACGCATCTCGGTCTTTCAAGTCATGCTACTCCGTGAAGCAAGCCACCCTGTCGCTGGAAGATGCTCGCACTTTCGCCATATACGTGCTTCTGAACTGCATTTGTTCTTCCCTCTACCTCTTGCAACAGTGATTCCCCTTGGCCGCTCATAACTAATTTCAGGGTCTGTGCCATAGGTCTCTCCTGGTTTTAAACCATTTGCAGAACATTCCAGTTAAGATCCCAGCCCAGCACAGCTCGCTTGACAGGCTCTTTGAGGTAAAGCTCCGCCACAGCAACCAAGGCCTGTCGCACGGCAGGAGCAAGGAATTTCTCGTGGCGGGACTCATGGATGAACAGCAGGATGTCAACTTCAGCTACAAAACTCATAGTAGTTCCTGAAGAGAGTTGTACCTGTGCATGGGGTCCCTGGGCATAGTACGTGGGGCTTGTGGGAGGATGATGGGGCTTCTTGAGAGGGATTGTTCAGGGGACATTTAAGAAACACTCCTACCTTCCAAAAGGCTGTTCTTGCCCGCCTTGATCAGGACTGCCACTGCCTCCTCCACGTGTATTAGCTGCCCGCCTGCCACTTGGAGGTTACTTGGTCAGGGGATGGAAGTTCTATAGAATGTGTCTAAAGGCAATGTAGAGGAAGATCAACAAGTTCCTGAGAACGATTGGCAGGAGTAGGTCTAGGTTTATATAGGTGGCGGAGACCGACTTATAAGATGCTTCTGCCATGGCTTCCCAGCTTCTAATTGACCCGCCAAGTAGGGATGGCGCAGGTGGCGCCCCCTTTGGCCTCAACTTCCCAGTCCTCCTTAAGTAGATAGAATATGGCTTTGGGTATACACCCCATATTCTATCTACTTCAGGGGGACTATATATCAATATGCATGTTTATGCAGCGTTACATGGCCTTAAACCCCAAACCCTATGTTGGCCCTATAGATCCTAAACCCTAGACTGTACCCTGAACCCTATACCCTAAACCCCAAGCTTGATGAAAACCTTTGCTGCCGATTCAGCCTGGAAGTCGCAGTCGTATCAGCTCGTGGGCCTCGATATAGCGCGAAGCTGCGGCCAAGCCTTGTCCTTACCTAGGCCTTCACTGTAAGTAAAGCAACGGCAGGCAACCTTGAAGAATAGTCCAGATGTCCAAAAGGACATTATTCCCTAGTTTCCATTTCATTTTCCATTTTCTTTTCCATTTGATTCTCCGTTATAGTAGTTTCCATTTTCTTTTCCATTACCCTATATAACCCCAATTAATATATATCAGTTGGTATTCCAGGTAGGCATTCCAGAACCTCATGCTCGTTTGGCTCTCAGGCTTGCGCAGCTGCATTCAAACCTCAGGAGAAGACCTTGCCCTGGGGATCAGCACCCAGTGCAGAAGGCGAGACGCCCACGGCATGTGCCTCGCGAGCACTGGATAGTAGTCCCAAAGGAGCCCCAGTGGCATAATGGATGCTGAAGCAAAAGTCTGACGGTTTTCGAAGGCATGGTGCTGTTTGCGTGAGTGTGGTCCCAACTTCATCTTAAACCCACTACGAAGGGCCCGACGCAAAGCCACCTACATGCGAAGACAGCTAGCTGCCACTCGGGATGGGAGCAAAGCCGTGTTTAACCCATTTGTTTCATCATTTTGGGGGCCCTAAACTTGAAACAAGCCCCCATATAATCCGATGCAAAGCTGCTGATCCAGTATGGAGGGCTGGGGGATCCAGCTGCTCACCCCCTGCACTTCGCAACTTCTGGAAAGCCCCACTCACGACTTCTCAAATTTGGCAGGCAATATTGCCCATATGGTTACTGTATTATCGGAATAATGGAAAATCAAATGGACCAGAACATGGAAAATGAACTGGAAACTGGGATCATTGCTCCCGGTTTCCATCTCATGTTGCCTTCTCTTGTCCATTTGATTTTCCAGTAAACCATAAGGGATTGTAGGGGGCTTAGGGATGCTGGCTTTAACATCAGGAGACCTCAGAACTTACATGATTGGAATGGTAAACCACAATTCTTCTGGCACACTCAGTTGTAGAACGTCCACCGAAACCATTCTAGGGGCCTCAAATCCCTTAGGGTTATATTGGGGTAATATGGGGGTTATATTAGGGTGACATTATTATCCCCGTCTACTCCCCATGTAATCTGCGCTATGTTGCAGCATAGCATATACTTGGATGCTCACACGAAATCATGAGCAGGGTTGTTGCAAACGATAATGTAGCAAGTAACCCTTGCCAAACGGAACTTAATATGATCCCCTTTATGTCTGCACATTGCTGTGCCTCCGCGTAGGTTCGTCCTAGGAGCCGTTTCAGAGACTGGAAGACCCTGCCACAAAGGACCATGGGATAGGATGGACATAAGGTGTGGCCAAAGGGCTAAACCACATTTGGGTGCTTCAGGGCAGCAGGTCCAGGTTGAGATTTCAGGCATGAGCTTTCAGTTTTCTGTGAAGGGTGTGGGCCAATAACTGAAGGCTAGGGCTAAGGGTCAGGCACAGTCCCACAGGCTCTTAGGCCTAAAGGCTTGAAGCCTGCGGGCTTCAGGGCGTAGGATGTGAGGCCAAGGGCTTTAAAAGGGCTTCCTTTGCAAATTGTGGGTCCTCTAGAATCCCTCAAACCGCGAACCCTGCGGTGCCAACTGCTGGGGAAGCATTTCTTTTGGGCAAGGGTATTCATCACTGGGCCTTGAGAGACTGCAGCAGGGTCCTTTGGGGAAACATGGAGACAAAGGGAGATTTCTAAAAAATTCTCGCACGGTGAGGAATCCCAGAACTGTGGCGAAATTATGAGGGGACCTCAAAACTTACTGGTTCTCAGCAGGTAATAATGGAAATGTAGTCCCTGATCCCTAAAAGTAACATGTGGTCAAACATGCATGCTTGGATTGGGGCATATTTATTTCGGGGTATGTTTCGTACGTACATGGCCCTTGATGAAGAGGATGTTGTGGGGGTATGCTTCAGGGTATGTATCTATGTATCGGGGTACGTACCGGGGGTGGTCAACAATGCGTCCTTACATGAATTCCTGACACGCAAAAATTCTGGAAAAAGCCATATGAACCCTACATATTCCCTCATCCCCCACGAACCCCCCAAGTAGGAAAAGGACCAAATCGCAAGCTTGTTGCCCTTGAGCCCTAAGCTTTCGGTCCGGGGGCTCCAGGTCCACAAATACTGCCTAAACTGGGTTGCATTAAGAATCTTAATTTAAGTTACCATATTGGGAAACACTGTTAATTACTCTATACATATATACATACACAGTATGGCAAGTTAATCCATTTTCCTTGACAGCATCCCAGTACATTGGGCTCTATAGTTCAAATATATTACCTACGTTCAGCTATTTGGTAGTCTCCATACATACGGGGACCCCAACATAGACCCCCAAGTACTATAGCCAATATTGGTTACCCGCCCTAAAAGGTACCTCTCATTTTTTGGAGCCCTACGGAAACATCTGCAGCCAAAGATCACTTGCTTGACGCCATCTGAACGTATCCGGGTGGCTGCCAGACCTCCAGGATTTAGGGTTTCTGGCAGGGCGTGGGGTGTTAGAGAGTTAGGGGCTTACGAGGATCTATTTAGTGTTTAGGCTTTTAGGGCTTAGGCATACGGGGCTTACAATGGAATAAGCCGGACAGAGCTCTTGGAATTTCAGTGAAGGTGCGGTTCAACTTCAGAGGGCAAGATTGTGTATTCAGGCCTGCGCTTCGAAATCTGAATTTCTGAAATTTTAAGCTTTCGGATTACGATGGCAAACTGGATGGCCCCTGCAAGTCACATGGCATCATGAATGTCAATTGTTGCATTGAAACGCCCGAAGTGGCCACAACAACCTGCTTATCAATAACCTCCTGTCTTGCCACAATCTCTCCGAGGAACTGCGATGATAGCTCTACGACACTTACGACATAAACGATGAAGGCTTTCAGTGCTTCTACACGGAATAACAAGAACAGCAATGCAGTGGCTGTGTTCGTGAAAATTCACATGTTGACGATAACGCAGCACTTCCCTCACTGCTAGTAAGAGTCAAGGCGGTAATGGTGCCACATCACATGAAGGCTATCCTGGCAGCAGGGGGTTCGTAACGTTGTGATATGTTGTGAGCCCCTTATCGGAGTCCCTCTAATGACTCTAATGAATACTGCAATGCCCGGGGGTTTATAGGCATCTGACTTGACTCGTCACATGCTTTCTTTGCTCCGCATGTTTGGTTGGCCTGCAATGGAGTCACCCTTGAGGTTGAAAGCGACCAGGGAAGGCATCGTTGGTCTTCCCGGGGAAGCACCTTGCTGAGCAAAGGCCATAATTTTCGGGTCCTAGCTGCTCAGAACTCAAAGTGCTTAGAGGTGTTTACCGTGCAGGGTGCAGAAACACCTGTATGAGCTTTCAAAAACCGCAGTTATAGGGTCGTAGCCACTCCGCTTGCATTTTCCAGTATGTCAACACGTCGCTAAGCCATTTCTCATCTCCGAGGCATACTCTCCCCTGGACACTTTGATATCTTTGATGTGACATCATGACATCTCAAAATCAAAGTTTCCAGTGCACAGAGAATAATGAATCATTGAGTCCTGACGCCCCACTGAGCACACCTAAGAATTTCGGCTGTGGCCGGCCTGGCGGAGGCACCACCTTAGCAGCTACGAAGGTCATGGACTTCATCATCACAGTTGTCAGGGGCCAGTGGGTACGACGGATGATTAATTGATCACGCCCAGTTCAAAAAGGCTTGAAAAAGGATTTCCAAAGCCGTCCAGCCACAAGGAACCTGCCATCACTCCGCCGCACAGCCACTGCAGAGTTTGTGGTTCCGACGTCCAGGCCGATGGAAGGCCCTTCTGCATCCTGGAATTATTGTGAGAAATTGAGACTGTCCCGCTTTAGCAATGAGCTTTGGAAGTTAACGTTTTGGCAGGAGGCACAAACATCCTCAGGACAATGCAATCTTGCTGCCTGCTTAGGATTTCGATCGACTGAATGCTCAAGCGCCAACTGTGACAGTTGACAAGCCGTGATGCAGGGCGCTGCCTTGCTGCCCATGTTCTGGGAGTCTTGATCGATGCTCACGTGTCACCCCTTTGCAACTTGTACCGTGCTACCGCTCTCATTTGCGCAGCTGGCACTGCCAATTGCACCCGCAGCAAAGTGCAGGTCACGTTTTCTGACTCGAGCATACAGGATGGCTGGCTACGTCACAACGCTATTTCTGAGGAAAAATCAGGATCACAAACTTCACTCAGCGATCTTGACCGAACCCCTCAACACGGATCCAGGCGAGTCCTCCGCCTGACGGGCGACGCGCAGCCTGCGGGCCGTAGGCAAACTGCCGAGGAAAGCCTCCAGGTGTTGCTTCTTTCTTTTGTTCCTAGGGGGATCTTATTGGGGTTATATTTGCCCCAACGATGGAAAACCACATGGACAACAAAATGGAAAGTGAAATGGAAACTGGGACAAACATAAGGACCTAGGGCTCTGTGTGGGGGTCGGACATGGCATGGCAAATCAGAGGAAAATGAGAGACAACTCGCAACGACTCTGGTGGTGAGTGAGGA